CAGGAGCACGAACAGCAGCAGGAGACTGGCAGAAAGGGTACCAGGACTGGAAGCACCTGAAGGAGGAAGGAGGATACTGAGACGAAGAAGCTGAGGACCACGCGTGCCACGGAGGACACGCGGCAGCCAGGGGAGACCACGACCGATGCTTTCGCTTGCAATGTGCGTGCACGCGCGTGCCATCTTCGGCTCCCCACCCCGAGACCGGATAAGAACCTGCCACGGACAGCATGGGATCCACGGAGTGCTTAAGAGGAACGAAACTCTGCATAATGATAAGCTGTTGAGGCTCTGCGCGGAGTTCCTGGATTGGCGCTGGGCTCCCCTGGCGCCGCCCCTGGCGCGCTCTTCGGGAAACCAAGAGGTACTGACACTGCTACTCCCTGGACCTCTCCCAGGGTGCGTTCTGACCGAAAGTTCAAGGCGAATCCAACGGTGGCAAGGAGGGCCTCCGAGAGGGCCCAGAGAGGGGAAAACGGGCGAAGGGTAGCAGCATCGGCACCTTTTCCTCCTCTGAGCTCCGCGCGCTAGAGGGAGGGGGGCCCAGCGCCGATCCATGCACTTCGCGCGGAATCCCAAAGAGTTGCCGTTTTTGCGCAGCTACTTCGTCTTCGACGGGGCCAGGCTCGCCTGCCCGTTCCCGCTCCCCCGCTGCCTCGTGCGCACCCTCCGGCCCTCCTCCCGCCCTCTCTCATCCTCCTGATACTCCCGAGCTCGTTCCCCCCCCCACCCACACACATACTTCTCCCCCTCCCCCTCCCCGCTGCTCGCGCCTCAGGCGCGAGTATCTCGATATAATCGATCGCGACCTGTTTCCCAAGTGCTGAGCTTAGCCGGGTTATCACTATGTGATGGCGGAAACCCTGGAAATCCTTTCCCTCCTCTTCCTCAATGTCTTCCTCCTTTACTTTCCTCCAGATTTGCCTCCTCCCCCTCGAGGCTGGCATTCGGGACATGGCTCCGTGCTGGATGCTACCCAGTGTTGTTGCAGTTGGGCTGCCAAAAAGGTAAGCCTCTCCCTGGCACCTTTGAGAAACTCCAACGACCCGCGCATGCCGGGGGTGACAAAGCATGTGAAATGATGTCGTCCCGCTGCCCAGCCCAGGGGACCACAATGCCGTCGGAGGGGGGCGTCGGATTCCTGGCCGCATATCCTCGGCACCTTCGGACCAAGGCGGCCCAAGATGGCCTCCCAAATCCTCTGACATGCTGCCAAGTGGCCCCCAGACGGTTTCAAGACTCCAAGAGTGGAGCTTTCCCTGGACCCGCCCGTAAAGCAAACAACACGAAACTAAACAGAAACCTGCACTACAGGATCTCACCTCGGTTGCTGGCCGCCCATCGTCACCTGGCGGGCGCCCCGTGCGCTGGGTTGGTGTGCCGGGGTTTCGCCCGATGCCCTGATTGTGGACGCCTCGTGGGCGAGCGCCCGAGGCGCCCACAGTGGTGGCACCACACTGACAGCCCCATAGGCACTCGACTTACACTACAGCGGCCAACTTGCACAACATAGCTTGCAACATGCAGCGTGCATCACACGGGTTTCGCCGCGTAAGTTGCAATACGCACAGCGCGCCAAGTAAACCTTGCCACGCTTATTACATCCCAACGATCGCAACGCATAGCTTACACGTGATATGTGTCGCCACATAGTTTGCTATACATGTATTGTACCGTACACATATCATGGCATAATTTGCAAGACGTGTTCAACATGCCCATCGAGTGTGCAACTCTGATCGGGATACCGTGGCGAGCGTGTTTGAATGATCGCGGCCTTCTCACCAATGTTGCTTCCGATCGTCTTCTGGAACTTCAGGATGGCCTTCGGAACACCCAAAAGTACTTCCAGAAGGGGGCCCACAACGGCCACAAGACAGCCCAAAAGGCCGCCACGAAGGCCAAATGCACGCCCAGAGGGCCCGGGCGATTGAAATTTTGAGCTTTGGAGGACCAGCGATACTGACGTACCACGGTGGTATTTTTCGCACTGCCCCATCACCATCCCCATCACTTGGGTGTGAGGAGGCGGTGCCGACGCACTCGTAGAATGAGGACATCACAGTTCCCCCCCCCCACCCCACCCCCAGCCAAGACCCACGCCCCAAACCTGGCGATGCAGGGGTCTTGGCAGGGGGTAAGGGTAATTTGGATGCCCCCAAGAGACCCACCACAAGCAAACCCACCTCCTTTATCTCCTGCTCCCGATGTTCCGAATCAGCCTCCAAAGCGGCTCAACGCTTTCATCCCCTTCCTCTCCCTGCCGGCTTCGTGCCATGACGTGTATGTTCCTCCCGGGCCCCGCCAGCTCTCCCGGGCAACACGTCCGGACGGCCTGGCGGGAATACTTTTGGGCACGCAAGCGCACGAATCGAGTCAGATTTCTTGATTAACGAGCGCACGAAGCGGGTCGAACGCCGAACGTGCTACGGCGGACCGCGCTGGTAGCGAAGTGACATGCACTGCGGGCGACGGCACGCGAGGAGCTGCGGCACCGACCAGGCGGGCAGCAGCAGAACAGCGTTCCGAAGACGAAGACCACGTGAGCGCGGCAAGCGTGGCGAACAGGAAATACAGGAAGTACACGAGGAAGACGCTGGAGAAGACGGAGACGATAATTGGTGGCGCACAGAACGCTCACCGCGTGCCAACAAAAACACGCATCCAAAATGGCGCGATGAAGGCGAACAAAGGGCAGAATAATAACACCGTAAAGTAGTGCGCCGTGAGGTAGGCAGACGACCCGAACAGCGGACCAGCAGGATGAACCGACCACGCCAGACGGCAATGCCACCCTGTAGCCGAGACCGAACATCCCGAGGGACAGCCTTGCCGTACAGGTAGCTTTTCAGATGGCCGCCAACCGACACCAAGAGCCCCGCGAGCGCGAACCAGAAGACAAAACTGGTCGGCACGAACTGACAGTGCAAGAGCGTTCAGAATCCATGTGTGACGTTTGTCTTCTTTGGCACCATCTATCGGGTGCGAGCGACAGGGGGCGGATGCGAGGAGAAGGCCTTCTCACAAGGTTCGAAGGTCCCCCGGCCTTCTGAGATGTTCCCTAAACCGTACCCGAAGACACAGAATACGTCTCAGTAGGCGCGAGGGCTTCTGAGAAGTCCCGCCGCCTTGTGGGAAGGCCTTCCTCCCCTCCCTTGCTCCTCCTCATCGTCCTCCCTGGTCCCTCACTCCCTGCCCTCGTTTCCCGCTCCCTCCCCGTGTGCTCCTTGTGCCTTTCTCCTGACTCGCTCGAGCAGGCGAGAGCCACTGTCCCCCCTCGCTCGCCGCCGGTCCCTGCCCCTGGGGAGGAGGAGCGACGCAGAGCATCAACATACCATGTCGGAGCCCTGCGCGGACAGGCGGGCACTGGATCCCCCTCCCTGGAGCGCGGAGCGCGCGAGGGGCGGCGTTGGAGGCGCCGCCAGGGGGCTCCAGCGCCGATCCGAGAAACATGCGCGGACCTCCACAGGGTCATGGAGTTGTCGCTACCCGATGGGGGGCGAGCTGGTGACAGATCGGAGAGGCAGGCAGGAAAACATGCGCGAACAAAAAGCTTGCCCCACCATGAGGCCAAGGATCTACTGACCAGAGCCAATGCAAACCCGGGTCAGTCGGCCTTTTTGCGGGATCTGGCAAAATCCTGAAGAATCCTGCAAGATCCTGCGCCCAAACCTGGGTCCGTGCGACCCTGGCCCTGCAAGATCCTGCAAGATCTGGCGCTCGGGCTGACCCCCGTCGGCATTGAACCCCCGTTTCTTGAGCCCCGAGCGCGGCAGGTAGTCGCAGGAATCTTGGGACGTCCTCGAAGAATCCGTAGGACATCTTTGCAAGCAAGCAAGACGCCGTGTCCAAAAGGCACGTGAGCCATACTCTTATTCAGCCACATCCGCAGCCTCGAAGTGAGGCAAGGCGGGCCGAAAACGACGAGCGACATCTTTGCAAATGTGGGCAAAATAGCGGACGTGATCTGCGGGAGGGGGGGAGGGAGAGGGCCGATCACGGCCGAAATCGCCCAGACCCTCAAAAAAACAGGCTCCATGATTTAAGGCCTCCCAGATGGGGTCCGTGTAGCTGGGGTCGGGGGATCGCGCCGCATCGCCGATGCATCGGGGATGCATCGGCGATGCATCGGCGACGTCGGCGATGCATCCGCGACGACAGCATAGGGAAACTCGGGATCCACATCGAGCCGCATCGCCGATGCATCGGCGATGCGGCGCGATCCTCCGACCCTATCTACTACGACCCCATCTGGGAGGCCTAGAATGAGGGCTCCAGAGAAAGCTCGCCGGCCCGCAGGGACGGGTGGAGGGGGGGCTGGAGAGTGAGGAGAAGGACGAGGAGGAGGAGGAGGAGAAGGAGGCAGGGGAGGGAGAGGAGGAGCAGGGGAAGGAGGTGGAGAAGCAGGACGATGAGGATGTTGAGGTTGATGATGAGGATGACGAGGAAGAGGAGACGGAGGAGGGCGAGGAGGAGGAGGAGGAGGAGGAGGGGAAGGAGGAGGAGGGAGAAAAGGAAGAGGAGGAGGGGGACAAGGAGGAGGAGGTTGCTGATGAGGAGGAGGAGGAGGAGCAGGAGGAGGAGAGGAGATGATGATGATGAGGAGGAGAAGGAGGAGGAAGAGAGAGGGAGGAGGAGGGAGGAAGAGAGGAGAAGAGGAGAAGGAGGAGGAGGAGGAGGAGGAGGAGGAGAGGAGGAGGAGGAGGAGGAGGAGGAGGGAGGAGGAGGAGGGGAGGAGGAGGAGGAGGAGGAGGAGAGGAGAAGGAGGAGGAGGAGGAGAAAGAAGGAGGAGAAGGAGGAAGTGGAGGAGGAGGAGGTTGATGAGGTTGATGATGATGATGATGATGATGATGATGATGATGATGATGAGGAGGAGGAGGAGGAGGAGGAGGAGGAGGAGGAGCAGCAGGGGCGGGGCTGCCGCCTGAGGCACCCGCGCATGCACGCCTGCTGCGTCATGTCGCCGCCGCGCCCCTCCCCCGGGCAGAGGGGGGCGGCCCGCGGGCGGCGGGCGCTGCGGGCACCCTGCGTCGTCGCTGGCGCCGACGCCGCCGCTGCCGCGCGTCAGCGTCGCCGACGTCGTCGTCGCAGCCGCTGGTCGTCGTCGTCGTCGTCGTCGCGGCTCTGGGCGTTCGTCGTCGTCGTTGCTGTTGCCGTTGTCGTCGCCGCTGGTGGTCGTCGTCCTCGTCGTCTGCGTCGTCGATCGGATCGGTTGCACCCTGCGGCGTCGGCTAAGGAACACCGATACCGATACATCTTGCGGAGTTCTGATCTGCTCTACCACCGTAACGATGACTAAGCGGCCGATCCTTCGAACTCTGAGGGGTCGTCGCCGCAGGGAGGAAAGGAGGAGCGGGGAGGGGTGAGCAGGAGAGCGGGGAGGAGCAGATCTAGCTCCCAGGTTGGGTCCGAGCAGGTGGGGTCGGAGGGTCGCGCCGCATCACCGATGCCTTTGGGATGCGGCTCGATATGGAGACCGACCTTCTCCACGCGGGCATCGCCACTGTATCACAGACGTCGCCGATGCATGGCCGATGTATCGGCGATGCGGCGCGATCCTCCCACCCTTTTTGTTACTCCAACCCCATCTGGGAGTCTACAGCAGAGGGGGGAGTGGGAATTGGGGGGAGGGAGGAACCAGAGGGGGGGGGGCGGAGACGAAAGAGGAGGGAGTAACTCTGGGGAGGAGAGTGGGTGGGCAGGATGCTATCCCCTCCTCTTCTCTCTCCTACCTGCTCGTCCTCCTCGTCCTCATCCTGTTCCTCCTCCTCCTCCTCCTCCTCCTCCTGTTCCCCTTCCCCCGCTCTGGAGAGGCCGGGGAGGAGGGGGAACAGAAGGGCACTAGCAACAGTGATGGTAGTAGGAGTAGACTCGCAATGGTAGGAGCAAGGGTACAGGCCACAACGACAAGGAGGACGACGACCACCACCAGCGGCGAAGAGAACGAGAACGACAACAGCAACGACGACCAGCGTTTGCGATGACGATGGCGACGACGAATGCTAGCGGAAACGACACCGTCGACAGGCGGCGACGACGACAACCGGCGGCGACGACGAAGAGTAAAAGTAAAAGTGGAAGGGAAAGCAAAAGCAATAATAATAGCACAAAGAGTGGTAGTGGCACAAGCAGTACTCGTAGTAGTAGTGTGAGCCGTAGTGGTAGGAGTATCAGTAGCACTCGTGGCACCATTCGCAACAGAACCCGCAGCACAAATCCGCCGACCCTGTCGGCGTGTGGAAGAGGCTGTTCCGCGCCAGCCACAGCGAAATTGAGCAACGTTGTAGCTGAGTCGAAGTGAAGCCCCTTCTCTTTGATCCCTTCCCCGCAGGGGGGGGGGCCCGGGGGGGGGGCCCAGGGGGGGATCCCAGGACAGGTACGACTCCCCCACGGGCGGTTTGGGGGCCCGAAGTGCCCCAAGATGTCCCCTAAAACGGTCTTCGGGGAGCCCCGAATCGCCGAAATATCAGTCCAAGTCGCCAAAGTAACCTCCAGACGGCTCAAAATGTTTCCAAAACGCCCCAAGAGGCTTCCAAGAGGACTTCCAACACGGCCCCAAGGGGCAAGCAACGTAGATGTCCCGTAGGTTTTGGAACGATTTCAGCATTCTCGCCCTGTCAGCTTCCCGACGCCCAAAGACAGGCCAGGAGGCCTCCAAGACCGCCCCAAGATGGCCCAAGAGGCCTCCAAGAGAGCTCCACAACGACCCAAGAGGCCTCCAAGACAGCCGAAGAGGTCCCAAAGAAGCCCAGATGGGGGACCCGAATGGACATTTCGATTCCTCGGCATGAGAAGCTCTCATGAAGCCCACAGAGGCCCCTCAGAAGCTCCCCAAGAGGCCCCAATAGGCATCCAAGAGACCCCAAGGAAGCCCCGCCCGTGCCAAGCGGCGGCCCGCGCTCGCGAGGTCGCGAGGGGGCGCGACTCTGGCAGGCGCGACGCCCGCGCCGAGGCTTCGCGGCGCACGTCTCGGGGCGCGCCCCCGCTGACCCCCGCCGCGCCTCGCGGCTTCAGGTGAGGTCCATCAGCGCCGCGGAACACAGATGGGTACATAGCGCAGTGGTTAGAGCGGCTGGCTGCAGATCAGCAGGTCCCTGGCTCAAATCCGGGAAGTATTAGTAGTAGTAGCAGTAGCAGCAGCAGCAGTAGTAGTAGTAGTAGTAGTAGTAGTAGTAATAGTAGTAGTAGTAGTAGTAGTAGTAGTAGTAGTAGTAGTAGTAGTAGTAGTAGTAGTAGTAGTAATAGTAATAGTAGTAGTAGTCGTAGTAGTAGTAGTAGTAGTAGTAGTAGTAGTAGTAGTAGTACTAGTACTAGTAGTACTAGTACTAGTACTACTAGTAGTAGTAGTAGTAGTAGTAGTAGTAGTAGTAGTAGTAGTGGTGGTAGTAGTAGTAGTAGTAGTAGTAGTAGTAGATATAGTCGTAGTCGTAGTAGTCGTAGTAGTCGTAGTAGTCGTAGTAGTCTTAGTAGTCGTAGTAGTCATAGTAGTCGTAGTGGTCGTAGTAGTCGTAGAAGTCGTAGTTGTCGTAGTCGTAGTAGTCCTAGTCGTAGTCTTAGCCGTAGTCGTAGCCGTAGTAGCAGTAGTAGTAGTAGTCGTAGTAGTAGTAGTAGTAGTAGTAGTAGTAGTCGTAGTAGTAGCAGCAGTAGTAGTAGTAGCGGTAGTGGTAGTGGTAGTGGTAGTGGTAGTGGTAGTGGTAGTGGTAGTGGTAGTGGTAGTAGTAGTAGTAGTAGTAGTAGTAGTAGTTGTAGTAGTAGTAGTAGTAGTTGTAGTAGTAGTAGTCGTAGTAGTAGTAGTAGTAGTAGTAGTAGTAGTAGTAGTAGTAGTAACGGTAGTGGTAGTAGTAGTAGTAGTAGTAGTCGTCGTAGTAGCAGTATTAGTAGTAGCAGTCGTAGTAGCAGTTGTCGTAGCCGTTGCAATAAGAGTATGTCGCCGTCGTCGTCGCTAAAATAGCAGGAGCAGCTACAGTAGTAGTAGTAGTAGTAGTAGTAGTCGTCGTAGTCGTAGTCGTAGTAGTAGTAGTAGTAGTAGTAGTAGTAGTAGTAGTAGTCGTAGTCGTAGTCGTAGTCGTAGTCGTAGTAGTAGTAGTAGTAGTAGTAGCAGTAGCAGCAGTAGTAGTAGTAGTAGTAGTAGTAGTAATAGTAAAAGTAGCAGTAGTAGTAGTAGTAGTAGTAGTAGTAGTAGTAGTAGTCGTAGCCGTAGCCGTAGCCGTAGTCGTAGCAGTTGCAGTAGTAGTAATAGCAGTAGCAGTAGTAGTAGTAGTAGTAGTAGTAGTAGTAGTAGTAGTAGTAGTAGTAGGAGTAGGAGTAGTAGCAGTGAAAGCCGTAGCTGGTGTAGGTGCAGTCAAGGTATTCGTAGGTATGGTCGTGGCGGACAGGGGGCCAATTTGTAGTAATAGTTCTGGACACAGTAGTTCCAGTAGTCGAAAATCTGGTGTCGCCATAGGACTTGTCCATCGCACGGTGCCCCGCGCGATGTTTGCAGTGATCCATTTTTTCCAAATTCCCTGATGTGGGTGTCTTGAAAACCCACCAGCCCTCTGGGCGTAGGTAGTCTAGAACGGTTTCTCTTGCAACCCCTCACTCTTCCTCTTCGGGGAGGGTTGTACCCCTGCCCCTACTCCCTCACCTGGCCCTAGAGGTGGTGGCCGAAGATGGTTTTAGGAGGGCCTCAGAGAGCCCAAGATGACCTCACAGATGGTTCAAGATAGTTAACCCAAGATGGCTCAGTATGGTTCCCAAGATGCGCCGAAAGGCCCCAAGACCGCTCCAAGATGGCTCTGAGTGGCGGCGCAGCCTCCCCAGGAGGCCACCAAGAGGCAAACATCCTTCAAAAACCTAAGAGAAATCAATGCTTGCTGCCTTCTCGCCTTTTCGCTTCCGATGGCATTCCGAGACCTCAAGGCAGCTCCAAGAGGGCCCCTCAAGGCCCCAGGAGAGGCCCAAGGGAGCCCCACCCCAAGACGGCCCAAAGGGCGCTCCAAGAGCGCCACAAGAGGGGCCCAAGAGGCGATTGCTGGGGATCCCGAGGGAGGAACGCAATTGGAGCCTCCATCTTGTTTGATCGATTTTCTCCAAGATGGCCCCAAGAGCCCTCTCAAGGCTCCCAAGAACACCTCAAGAGGGCCCAAAGAGGAGCCCAGGAGGTCCAAAGAAGAGGCTCCCAAGAGACCTCCCCGAGGCACCCAAGACGCTCCCAGAGGCCCCCGGGACCGCCAAGAAGCCCCCAAGACGCTCTAAGAGGCCTCCAAAAAGCTTCCAAGAGACATTCGAGGAGGCTCTGAGAGGCAACTCGCCTGGGCATCGTTTCTGGATGGGCTGGTCGGGATATGCGAATCGTCAAGACTTCCTTACGTTGAAGCCTCCGAGCTTTAGATGCACAGATGGGGGATGCCCGCGTCGGCTAATCAGCTCTGGCTTGGGTGTTTGTTCATCAATGGCCGCCTCCTTAATTTGGCGCCTTGGCTATTGGCCCGCCGCGGGCCGTCCCTGCCCGGGCCCCGCTGGCTTTGAGTGCACTTCGGACCATACCCCCCCCGCCCAGACAGAGAGGAGGCGGAGGATGAGGAGGAGGAGGATGATGATGACGACGACGATGATGGGGACAGGAGGGGGGCGAATGATGATGATGGTGATGCTGATGACGACGACGATGATGCTGATGCAGATGATCTTGAGGGTGATGTTGGTTAGGATGATGATGATGATGATGATGATGATGATGATGATGATGATGAGAATGGTGGCGATGAAGGCAATGAAGGCGATGACGATGATGACGATGATGATAATGATGATGGTAATAATACTTCGAAGGATACTGGTAATCATAATGCTAATAAAAATGGCAATGATACTGATAATGCTGATGATGATGCTGGTGATTATGTTGATGGTGGTAATGATGGTGGTGATGACGATGGCGATGATGATGAGGATGATGATGATCATGTTGATGATGAAGATGCGAATGATGATGACGGTTTTGGGGATGGAATGTTGC